ACGCACACTAGTTTTGTATACCAACCAGAGAGACCACATCGTATCAATAAGATAGGAAACAACATTTGTACAAGATTTAGCCAAAAGAGTGACTGTGAATGTGGGAAATAGTGATCAATAGACAGGGCATGATTCAAGAACGGTAAATCGTATAATAATAGTTCATAGGTTAAAATGAAGCTCATAATAAGAAGAATATGAGTATGAATAGTTTAGTTATACGTTTAGTATTGGTCCATAAATGGATCCCGAAAGTTACCATTCATTATGCTTATCGGGACCTAACAACTAGAACTTCTTCTTTTAAAATTTATGTATCCAGTCTTCTAACAATAATCTATTCATGTTGAAATATACGTCATTTTATTGATAAAGTTTTGGTTCGCCAATAGTGAGGTAAGTACAAACGACATATCTCTATATCATTACACTGTTTGTCTGTTTGACTTTTGGAAGTATATCGTAAGTCAAGGATACATTTTGTTTCCATAATTGTTCGAAGAAATGAAATGTTGATATGTTGACAGGTTGTCTTACGAAAATACCATAGATAAACCAGTTAACGAAGACATTTTGGACATTCATCAGCAGTTATCATGTACATAGGGGTTAAATATTTTAAATCTCTCTGTGATTTACCATTGGAATGAGAACATAACTTAGATTATGCATGGATTGTCTCATTTTTTGTCCAATCATTATCCCAGTTAAACAGTGTAAACAAGACTCGGAGATAGCTATTGCATATGAATAATGAGTTATATGAAAACATTCATTAAGATGATGGTTGAAGGTAGTTAGCAGAAAATCCTGGGACCAGGTTTCATGCTACTTGGCAGTCGTCAGTAAAATGTACTAAGAAGAACCTGATATACATGACATTGATCACCACCCAGTGATCAATCAATTGTGATTACATCTCAGTCCTACAAAAGGCCAGTCGCAGTACGGAAAACTCAGTGCCAATCTCTCTGACTGTGAAGCTTGGTGACACTTGATCAAATCTATAAGGAAGCATCAGTTCCCTCAAGATTACAGGTACGTCTTGCTGACGAGTGCCAAGTAGCACGAAACCTGGGCCCAGGGTTTCCTGTCTACTACCTTCAACCATCATCTTATCTCAACATGATGCACCCAATATCGAGTCACATAGACTGGTGGCCACATAGCAACTTGTTCGATAGGATTCAATCTGTATTAAGAAGAACTTGATATACATGACACTGATCACCACCCAGTGATCAATCAACTGGAAACGTTCAATATTTGTTAACGGCTGAATTATTTAAACTATGGAAATGACCAGCGGATTGATCATATTAGAAATTGTAATCCTAATACATTCTTTTCTGCTCCTGATTTGCTTTCTTAAATGATTAATCATCGTATTTTATTTCTATGTTGAATAAAAGCCTTATAGTTAAAATATGTTGGTAAGTTACTAATGATCTAGTAGCTATGGCATTTGTTAAAGTTGAACCATAAACTAATTCTTCATAATGTCAAATGGATGACCATTTCATCTTAGTACGAGACTCTTCATAAGTGTACAAGCACAATTCTACACGTAGAACTCAAACTCAGGACCACCAGTCTCGCGTGAAAACTTAAAATCTAGACCACTGAACCAACATCGAACACTGTCAATGTCGAGCTTCAATCCATTCAATCTCAAGTGGATAGCTATGTCACACACGACACGGATCGTACTTGACTGATCATCACTTCTTACTGAAACTATAAGAAAATCCATGTTGAAGCTTGTCACTAATGAGTACATCATTATTATCAGAATGAGAATTCGTCGATATCATAGTATTTTCTCAATCGAATTCAGTTTAAGCAGAGTTAACCTGATTTAATTTTCATCAATAGTTTCAGCACGTATTATTTTACAGTTTAGACAGAATACCGCAACTTTGTGTTTTCTAATTAGTAAACTAATGTTAATAAACGATTAGTTCCTCGTCTTTAATGTAAATGCCGTGTCTAATTTACAAAGTTAGTTTTGTTATATATTCCTTTGGAATCGGAGTACTTACCAAGCGATGTACTTCTGATACTATACAATCATCAGTATAGAGTTGTGGAAATTATTAGGTTTTTGATTGAGATCATGAACTGATTCATGTTAGACCACCAAGATGGTCGCTCAGTTTCGTGGATTGGTTGAGGTTAGACATTAACACCATTGCATGTTGAATCAGGGGTCTGAAGGTTAGGCGTTCGCGCGCGAGACTGAAAGCCCATGGTTCAAATCCCACGAGAGGGATCGTGTATTCGCACTGCTGAGGAGTCCCATAATACAGTGCTTCCAGCTTTTCAATGGTCGTCTAACATCAATCAGTTCGTGATCTCAATCCAAAACAATATAATCAAATGGATCGAAAGACTGATGAACCTTGTCGCTTTACAAATCACAGCGATAAGCAAGTAAGATATGTTGAGATCTAATTACAAAACATCTATATCTCTACAGAAATATCTAGGATTACATCATGTCAAGGACCTCAATATGAGCATCACTTATTAATGAGCTGCCGATATGTAGCTTCCACGGAAGTTAGAAACCGTTCAAATCAACGAAATCTCCCTAACATTACTGCGAATAAATGAAGTTTTTTAGTAGTAAGTGTAATAGATTAACGCAAAATACAGTCGCAAATCAAAAGACAAACGAGGACTGGAGAAGTGTTTGTTAAGTAGAAAACAAAATATACAGAACATCATGAGTATTTATAGATATGAGCGTTTGTTATATCAACATTACAAATCAACCAACCCTAAAAAAAGCATGTTATGCTACTGCCTAATAGTAGCATGCCACGTTGATATTCCAGAAAGCTTTATCACGTTCTGATTGGACAGAAACTCTTCGTTTCTTTTGAGGCGTCTGCCGTGGTTGTCGTAATCCGTCCCAACAAGCTTCACAAAATGTCGAGAGGATAAATATTTCTAAAGTTGGCACATAGCAAACAACCACAGGAGATGATCATAGATTTAGATCGTGGTATAATCATGAAGTGCGTAAAGTCATTTCCCATTATTGATATGCTTTCCCTTCGTATAGATTGTTGTTGATGTTCAATTGTTCAATTTAAATGTTCCATATGACTTTGATTATGAATTTTTTAATGATTTGACTTATAGCTCTATTAAAAAGTGGCTGTAAGTTACCACAAGGTTATTTGAAGTTATATCATGATCCTACTTAGTGTTTTGTCACTCATTAATCCAAACTTCTTCAGCAGTTTTATTTATCCTTTCATACAATATGGATAGGGATTACTACTGTCCATTAGTCATAGTGAATAATAAAAAAGCACTGAACACTTATAGTATGTTTGTTTCCGTAGAAGCTGTAATCAGTGAATAACATATTGAGTATTTCAAAAACGGAACAAAAAATATTCATTATTAGCATATGTGATTAGTGGATAAAAAACTTTGTGATGCAAGTATGTCCAACTGACGAAACACGAATAGGACGAAACACACGTCCTGTATTTCACTGTTAACCATTAGCTATCTCTGATTATAATCATTGTGACTTAAGTCTATATCGCAGGAATCCACACAGGATTGCAGTCTTAGATGTCAATCGAAAGATTCAAACAAACAATACAAAAATGAATTTTAACTTCACTCCATTACACATGCAAGTAGCTATTAGGACTTTGTGGCTAAGTGGATAACGTAATGGCGTTTAGATTGGACAGTACTGGGTTCGAAACCTAGAGTGAACATCAATTCTGGGCTTCATGTACACTTATCTGATGAGTTCTGAATAGGACGAAACTCGTATCCTGAATTCCACTGATAGCCACCATCTTCTTCTGCCTATAATACAGTTAATGCCTTGATGAATTGGTATCAGACCGAACTAACTAATCAGTTATGTCAGATCATACCATGTATCTTGAATCATCAGTTCTTCATATTATTAGATCAGAATAGAAAGTTTACCTCAATACTTTATTATAATGAATTTGAAATATACAGAATCGCTACGAGTTTTTTGTAAGTTTCTTTTATTGAAATCAATATTCATTTAAAGCATGTCAACATTTTTTTCACTTATATTTATTTGTTTACTTAAAGACATAAACATTGGTGCAAGAAGGCACCATATAGATTCGCGCCACATAAATCATTCGATACTGTCCTGGTGCTCAAACAGGGGGACCACACCTCAAAACTATGACATAAAGGTTTGATCCAGAAGGCAGTTGAGCAAATTTAGGAGATGAAGTCCAATGATAGCCGATGACCAACAATTGGTTCATGTTCCATTTGTTCCTTCGGGATTCTAGAGTCCATATGTACCGTTTTTTTGGAATTAGTGTTTTACAACTTCTCTAGATGGATCCTCAATATCCAACAACACGGTCAAAGCGATGAACATTCGCCTTTCTTCTTCTCGATCTTGTATACAACACTCCTACCTCGAGAAGGCAGTAATTAGGACTTCCCTAACTGCAGCTATGTGACAGCGTACTCTTCCTACCCTTTTGGGGGCAATATTAGTGATCAAACTTATAAACTTTGACTTCTTTGAAACGTTTTACCACCAACCGACCTCGTTTAGGACTGAGATGTATTCACGATTGATTGATCACCACCTAGTGACCAATCAACTAGGTCTATTCAGTCTCTGACGAAGTTGTAGATGCACACTGAAGAGTTTATCAATCCTTCATAGTTGTTGACAATCTTCCAGTAGGTTCACTCATTACTACAACTACCTCAAACCATCTTACTTCAATCTATGAATATTCAGTACATTTCTTTACAGACTAACATGTTCTATATTCTATTCATGATACTCAATGCTTTCATTTCTTTCTTTTATCAACAGTGGAATAACATGATGATCGACGGATATCACAGTAATGAATTGGATATGAATGTTTCTTTTATAAAAAAAAATTTCATAGATCATTTAAAGAATAAATACAAATTGCTGATTGGTGGCTACAACCGGTTTCTTTGGTGAATAGGTCAACACATCATAATGATCAGAGAGGGGTTTTTTAGGGATACTATAGTAATTTAGTAATTGAATTCATGAGTCAATTGAAGTTAGGTCATCATGAAAACCTGAAAGCACTGTATGACCGTTTCGACCTGATACGGGAGTTCAACAGGGTCTGTTGTGAGATAGACAATGGTAGACGATGATTCAATTTCGAGAATTGGTTGAGGTTAGACATTAACATCATCAGATACCGGTTTAGTAATCTAGAGGTTAAGTGTTCGCGAGCGAGACCGATAAAACGAGGTTCCGGATCCTGTGAGCGGGATCGTGGATATGCACTGCTGAGGAGTCCTATACTAGGACGAAACAGTCATTCAGTACTTTCAGGTTTTGTGATATATATGTCACTATCGAATGAATCCTCAGAAGGTGCACATATGCCAATAAGAGGTTGATCAATTTCAGTCCTAACATAAGTGAATAACACTATGGCGTTTGTACCGAACAATATTGGCTTCGAGTCCCAGAGTCAGTATCAACTCTTAGATGCAGGTACATCCATCTGACGAGTCTAAAATAGAACGAAATACGCGTCATCAACTCCTTTACGAGCCATTAGACATCTTTACTTATACTTGTGTTTTGTTACTAGCTAACCGAATTCATCAATTGAATATCAGTTAATATTCACAGATAGGTGGATAGAACATACATTGAAGAAATCATCAAATGGCATCACAAGTCAAGCCTTAAGTTGAAATCTTGAAGAGAAAACGAAAAGGGGAAGAATAACGAACACATTGCGTTGTGATTTAGAAATGGTCATGAAAAGAATGAATAACAACTGGAAACAACTGAAAAGGATTGCACATGATAGAGTCCGATGAAAAATGCTGGTAGACAGTCTATGCTCCTCCATGAGGTGTAAGAGTCTGAAGTAAGTAAGTAAATACATATATAAATAATAGATCGATTACAAAAAATGATAGAAAAAACGTCGTCCTTCATAAGCTCAACTTATTGAAGACGATCAATTAATATTCAGGGAATTTTTCTAATCTAACTTCCATGACATCATTCAGATAACATAATCAATATCTTTATCTGACAATAGTTTACATGGAAATTAGAGAGTATCACTTGCATGATCAATAAACGATGGTAGACTGTAGTTACTAATAGCCACCTCACCCCCACCGGAACAAAAATTTAATCGACAGGAATTCATCACAGTTAGAATGGTAAATGATTGACGCTTGATTCACCTTAATAAAGTTGTTTGTTTTCCACTAAACTCCATGTACTATGATTATACACTCGCTCAAACAGTTAAGCAATGTGGTGTATGTTATTGACGTTTTCGATAGATATAAATAGTATTTATCATCAATGAGAAGTGAAACATCTAGCAGTAAAAGGTTGAGAAGTGTAGTTTGAGCTACTTATATCCACATAAGTAGTATATAGTGATTGTAAGGAATAGTGTATTTCAGTAGAAGATCGACAATGAAAGGATGAGAACGGAAATCAATCTGTGTGAAAATGTATGAACAATCAAAGCTGAAACGATTAACTGATATTTGCAAAATGTAACTGTTGAGTCGGCTTTCGGAAAACTTGAACGGAGCCGAAAAGTCCTAGCCAATCACAACACGATGGAGCATTCTAGAATTCCAAAGTAGCGTGCTACTATTGGTCAGTAGCATAATATGTCGCTAACGGATTGGCTGAAATATGATTTTGATTTAATAAACGCTAACATCTATAAATACCCATGATTTTCTGTACAAGAACGAACCTTGGAGTAAAGTGTTTCTCTCACACCTTGCGTCTTCTCTCTGGTGTTCAAGTTGCTGTGTAGTTCTAGCTTGCGGGTTATCAGAATAGCCTAGGAATCGAATATAGCGTTCAATCGACAAGACTTATCAATAACAGTCTAGTTTGAGACGATTTATGGACATTTTACAAATGAAGAATTTATTTCTTCAGAGGAACGATGAAAACTCTACGATCAAACCATCCAGATCAGAGAACAAAAGTTCATCAAAATTATCCAGCTGAGCTACAAAAAAATCTTTTACACCCTCACTATATTGTTCTCAGATTTAACAAACATGTCCTGTGATTTCATGCTCAAAACCACATTCCATTACTCTCACTTGTGTTCCCATTCACTACAGAAGATTGAGTTGAAAAGAGAACGACAAACACAGAATAATTGTTATGATGATAATGGAACAATAAAGTTAGAGACAATTAATGAAAAACTTACAAATGAAGTATGGCTTTTACATTTTACATTTACAATTAAGTGTCTTTACCTATATTCGTGTTCATTTCAACGATATTTGAACCAATGAATGATGTATCAATTGTTCTGAATTTAACACATATGGATTCGAACTCGAAAGTTGAATACTGTATCCCAATAAATAGTCCATATGTATGTAAATGTAAACCATTCAAGATTTCACTATAGGGTTATGGAGATTGTTAAGTTATTAATTGAGATCATGAACCGATTGATATTAGACCATCATTGAAAACCTGGAAGTACTAGACGGCTGTTTCATCTGATTTTGCGAATCCACGATCCCGCCCATCGGATTCGAACCCAGGGCCCTCGGTTTGGCATAGAGACCAGTATCTACCTCAGCATAATGGAAGATGGTCTCGTAGATTGTTTGAGATTAAACAAGAACATGATTGGATGCCATCTCAGTGATCTAGTTATGTTAAGCGAGCATGATCGTAGATGCACACTACTGAGGAGTCCCACAATAGAACGGAACGACCATTCACTGTTACCAGATTTTCAATAGTAGTCTAACATCAATCAGTTCATCATCACAATCCTTCAAGCTATTGACTACTCATTGAATGAATCAAAAGTACTAATTACTAAAATGAAATTACTTTAATGATTCAACTTCAACAGAAAAACAGAACAGAACAAATCAAAACTGATCATCATCGAAAGAATCTTGTCAAAATCAATTTGACTGATAAAAATAATAATCCATTTGCACAAAATTCACATCTTGATGAAAAGAAAAATAAAGAAATAGATAAAAAGAAAAAACAAAAAAAAGAATAATAAAATCTCATAGAAACAAAAGTGATTTTATTGATTTTTCTAAGTTGTCATGGTAAACCCAATCCTTGTTTTAATAAAAACCTAAAAATGAAAAAATGACCAAAAAATAAAAAAATTTTTTTTGTTTTTTTTGTTTTATTAATAAAGAAAAGATAAAGTTTTAAATGTGGATTAAATCTGTTGAAATCTGTTGAAAGATCTGAATGATTTGAAGTCGGTTACCTAACAACATAGATGATGATGATGATGATGATTGGTTTGAAATGAGGGCTTTTCAGCTCCTTAGGTGGACCCTCCATATCCATCAACCCAGTTAAAGGATAGGTTTGTTCGCTTTTCGCTTTCTCATCTTCGTAAACAACACGCCTGTCACGAGAAAGCAATAAGTAGGACTTCTCTGGACGTGACTATATACGCATGGCCATATGAAAGCATTTCGAGAGGGAGAGGAGCTGACTTTCCCTACCCTCAGCTAAACACATATGACATTGTTCACTTTTCAATGATCGATTAACTGCATAATTCATACTAAAACATTTATTTAATATATGTAACTATTACGTAACGAATGAAAACAAATGAATGAACGTTTGAAAGTACTTTTCTCATAGATACAAGAAGTTGAAACGTAAATGCCTATTTGATCAATGACAAATTACTTTAATCAATAGAAAATATCTCAACATAACACACGATTTCATTTGCCTTTAACTAAGGGGACTCACAAAAGGATGAAACCGTCGTCCAGTACTTCCAGGTTTTCTATGGTTGTCTAACTTCAATTAACTCATGATCTCAATTATTAAAAAAAAATAACTATAATATCCACAAAACCCCTTTTCTGATAATAATCATCACATGCTAAATAATGACTAGCTTCAAGAAGTATTCCCTGGAGTTCTAGTAAGAAGTAGTAATGAGTGAAGTTCAACCTGGTCTGTTGTGAGATAATGATAGACGGTAGCACAATTTCGTAGATTAATTGAAGTTAGACATTAACACCATTTTAGATGCTGATTCAGTGATCTGGAGTGAAAGCGTTCACATGCGAGATTGATAGATTCTGGAATCGAATCTTACGAGGTGTGATCATGGATGTGCACTGATGAGAAGTCCTACAATAAGACGAAACGGTTGTCTAGTGTTTCCAGGTGTTTCCATGGTAGTCTAACTTCAATCAACTTATGATTTCATCTATTAAAAATGACTAGAATATCCACAAAAACTCATTCGAATATCGATACTTAAATGATAAATAGTTTAGAGGTAAAATAAAAAAAATTTTTTCAACTTACCATAATTGGTAAAACAGTGTACTTCAAATAGAAATCAGGTTAATAGTGAAGTTGAATAATAAATTCAATATAAAATGGACATGATAAGATGATAATTTATGGATGAACCAATCAAATTGAAGACTAGAGGTCATGGATTTTTGGCGCGAAATTCATTGGTTTATTTAGCTAAATACCATTACAGCATGATAGCTGTTGTCAATTTATGATGAAACGGCGAAATCTAATTTCTAACTCTCATCATCAATTGAAATTTACAATTATAATTCACCACAATGGTTTATAACTTTCCTTTAGTCTTAGTTACTAGGTGGATACTGTCAAGGTCAGTGTGGAGTCGCTCAAAGGTCATTCATCAATTATAGTCTCATCAAATTATCTAATCAAATTTTATTGATTAATTTACTATTTATCCATTATTGTCATATAAAAGGAGAATAAAACTATATTCCATGATTTACTTCATTCTACTACTATTATACGGTTATAGGACCGTTAACCGAGACTCTGTTACCGCTTAACTGAATACTCGGTTGATGCGATATATAATACATAGACTATATCACAGTATACTAAATACACGATTCACCATCAAATATAGAGACATTATGAACTGAACATGAATAAACTTCCTGAGTTTGATTACTGGTAGTGTCATGGATATGGACCACTTAGGAATCGTATACTTAAATGAGACATCTACCTTCTCCTCCCTAGTTTTCAATATTGGTCTGGTTAAGATCAGTTCGTCACTTAACAATGAAGATTCTACCATCTCTAAAAAAATACTGATAATAAAACAACAAGAACATGAACTTATATGCATTTTGATGTGATGAAAACCTGAAATCGAATTCCTATGCTAACCATCCACAGTAAATCATAAGTCTAATTCCTCTTACACTGGTTTATAACCCTTGTTTAGTCCTAGTTACTAGGTGAACATTTCAAGGTCATGTTAGCGTTGCTCAAAGGTTGTTTATAAATTATAGCCTCACCATGGATACTGGATAAATGATTCAGTAAACTAGTTGGATAAGTATTGAAATATCATATTTCTTTAACTAATATTTTTTTGTTTATTCCTCTCAATTACCATCCTAGTTATTAAAAGGTTTACTTAATAAGCCAAAAATAACGTTCAGCACTCTAACTTTGAAAGATTTAATTCAAATAATAATAGCGCAATGCTAACCGGTTTTGGGGATGGTTGGAAGAAAGTTAGGAACGGACAAACCAAAACGTGGCATTAGTGCTTGAAGTCAGTAACTTCTAGTCTGAGCCATGTTGGTAGATGCAGATTACTTGGTTGGAGTCCGCATGACTATCGTAACCAATAGTTTGAGACTCTTGTTGACATGGTTGAGAATCGATCACAATGGCGTCGATGTATACACTCTCTATCTTCCCTTAAACTACGAGACTAAAATCGCTTCATATCTTTCTTTCTACGAACTAATTCTTTCTTCCTGTACTATATCCTTGTATGCAATCTTTCTTTTATATATTACGACCTCTGAATTAACTACTTTTATCCATTCAGTGTCCATCTTGTTGTGCTGATGCGGTATGTCAACTTGACGGACTGTCATCAATGAACCGATGTGATACACTTGAACAAATCTTGAATGTATCTAATAATGTAACGTAGCATAATTAAGTATGTGTAATATGAAGAGACTATCACCATTATGACCTCCAGAAATACATTCACTATAGACTGTGATAAAACAATGACCTATACTCCATTAAAGATTACAGTCGTAAGTAAGCAAGTAAGACTATGGTGAATACCTGAGTTCCTGGAAGTGAAATATATCATTTTAAAAGAATCTCATCAACGTTTT